TACACTTTTATACACTGGTTATACGTAAAAATAATTTTTTTTAATATTTTGTCGAAGGTGTTCGCGAAATTTTAAATTTCTTATCTTATTATTTTCACGTACGTAATCAATACACTTAATTTAAGCATTCTTTTGGTATATAGAAAATCACATCGAAGTGACATAGTGGTTTATAATTCATACGAAGACTCAGAAAACTCCTTCTTAAATTAAATTTTTAAAACAAAACCTTCTTCACTACTGAGCGTACCTCAACACTTCTTCTTACGACGTGTTAATTAAAGTTGATTTCTTTTCTGGATTTTATTGAATTTCCATGCTAATCAATTCGTGTTACATTTCCGCGTCTCAATTTTAAACTAGCCTACAAACCATACTTTCTTTCAAGTAAAGATTTGTTTGCGTTTCTCGCCGCCAGAGTGTCGGTCGTCAGGACAACGTAAAACCTAGAAGAATTGTCTTCAGTTTCTTCCGTATTCTAGCAACGGCTTTGTTTTTCCCGGGGCGTGACAACAGCAGAATAAAGAACAGTCATATACACCCCTTCCCCTGATAATTGAGAGTTGCAATAATTTACCTCGCCCCTCTAGTAAGATACCCACGTGAAGGTAGTGTTATTACTCGATGTTAAAACATAAGTCTCCTAGTTAGATATAAGTAGATGACACGAATTCAATTTTATAGTAACAAATAGATAAAATAAAATGTAAAGAAAGTAATGTTTGAAAGTTAACTCGATTAGTAGCTACATTTGAGGTACGAGTATTTTAAAATTCAACAGCAACAAGGTAAATATTGTTCATAAAAATGCAATGCTTCAAGATGTGGAACGGATATTTTAAAACATTTATTTGCACAGTGTAGTATTCAAAAAGTTAATAACAGTAAATAAGAATATTGTGTTCGCGTATTATGTAATTATTTTTGTAAAATAAGTACTTTTGTGCAATTTATATTTTAGGGGGTATATGCTTCTGTTGTGTTCGACCTGCAAACTTCCTCTCCCAGTTCTCAAGTTATTTGTTCTATCTAATAAACGTTGTGGGATGAATTTCGGTTTTATTACTGAGAAATTTGATTTTTTCCCGGTATCCTAGCAACTACACGGCACCACTAACATTACGTAATCTTGCGCTATCAATGAGAACTCCGTGGCTTCCCCGCATTTCAATAACAGCTTGAATTTTCTCCAATCATTACAACTGATTGCGTTTTCCCAAGGGTGGTTTTAAATAGCCTGCTCTGTGCGTTACCGATAACGCCCGAAACGTGGCTAAACTATTCCGTTCCTAGGCAAAACCAGTACTGCTGTTACTCTACAATTTGGTTACGTCACGTTAGGTTAGGTTAAAATATTATAGGTTAGGTTAGGTTGCGTTAGGTACTCTCCTCAAAGTTTCTGCAGTAAATATTTGCATTGTTTCATCATCTTTTACAATTACTACACTTGTGCAGATAAGATTATAATTTTTTTTTCCAATCCAATAGTTGTATTTTTTCTATATTATGTTTGATGATAGCAAGGTACTAAATTTTCTACAATTTAATTCCGTGTTCCTGCACAGTTTTCACCATCAGCAAGCTACGAAATATCGCAAAATGTAGATTTATAAAGAAATGTTCATATTTGTCACTCTACCTGGTCGGAGCCGGAAAATTGAGATGATCGGCACAGATGCTATTTGAAGATGGAGGTAGGATCTCCTTGCGAAACATCCTAGACAATGGACGTCACAGAAAACAATCCAAATACTAGAGCAAAAAATAAATTCATGAAACTGAAATAAGTAGAATTGGGTAAATGCAAAAATAATTTTTCGGACTATGAGGAGAAGTTTATTTTTATAAACTTCAGTGGGCGTACGTTTTGTTCCTTTGTGCGACGGAGATTAAGATAAATAGACATTATCAGCTTATGAAATGCTCAGTGCCCACCGGATCACGCAAAGCTTTACGACGAGATAAATCATCTGCTTCTATTTTAAACTCGTTTTCAATACGAACGCAATGTAGGTCTTACCTTCGTTCTTCTATTCAGCGCTGTGATGATTCATTCCAACTCTGAAATACAGAACAATAAATTATTTAAAAATTAATTAGTAAACACATACATGCTATTTTAATTATCCTGTAAAACAGAAAGTTTCACTTAATGTCTGCTATAGTCCAACTTAGAATATGTGATTATTCCGGGGGCCACAATAGGGGTGAGAAAAATCATAAATGCCGACTTTCATTTATTTAAAATTTGAGTTTAAGTCACATATTTCTTCGTTCCTCTTGTTTTCCAATGGAATACACACAAATGCGAATTTATTTTAAATACTTAGCCACTATATTGCACACAAGTAGTTACGTAAAATAAATTCTAAGCCTAAAATTTTCTAAAACGGGGGAATTTATACCGCACATCGTGTGCAATTCGAAAACTAAAATATCAAAGAACAATGTCCTTTCTTAAGCCTACTCCAAGAGTTAATAAACTTACTTTTCACACGAAAATGCATTACTTAAATATAATCTCTTACGAAAGAAGACCGATGTTTTCAAGTTAGAGTGTATAACGTTCTCTTCTTAGGAACTACATACCATAACAAATTCGAAGGAGTTGAACATTCACCTTGCATTATATGGTGCATAACCTAAACTCACATTTCATTAAAATCCAATGTATAAAATTTTAAAATCTAATCCTAGGTTTTCCACGTGGTCCGATTTCTCTAATAAAATATCTTATCACTTCTTTATAATTCTTTGTATCCATGCTACAAGTTCAGCCCATCTCGTCCTCATTGATTTTATCACCATTTGGTTCGTTGTTTGGCAAATATCGTGGAATATTTCATAGACGTTCCAATCTGTAAAAACTGAAAACATGATATAATCGTATTTTTAATATCCTTAAGACACGAAATTATATTACGTTCTCAAGTAAAAACAGTAGAAACACGCGTGTAATTTGAATTAATGCCTGGAAATATGGGGATAAGTAAAAATTTTATTATTTGACAAGCGTTTTGTAAACACAAATGTACCAATTTTCGATTGAATCTGACATGTCATATTTCTGTCAAAGTTATGCATAACTCTAGACATCTATACTTGTAGTAAGTTATGTATAAAGCTCAAGAGTATTGAGGTCGTAGAGTGAAGCCGAGGCCAATGACGCTTGTAATTTCTGCTGTGTTGCTTACAAGAGAACGCGCGTTGGGACGGCGGTCGAAAATTCCTGTCCCGAAAATGGGCCGACATGTCGCTTAATGTGAGCATATGTGACAAGAATGTATCGAAATTATGCCATCAGTCACAGCTCTGTCGATATCAATCAATAAAACCGAACGTTCAAAATTTTTGTTCAAGGCATGAAAACACGGCGCTGAAGCTCAGAATTCCATAAAAATCAGTGGATTTCTTAACTAGCTGAGCGACTATCAGCCTATGAAGAAGGGAAATAAACGCGCAGGCTGAGGGGTTGGCACTCCTACCACATAATTGAGACGCCATCAAACGTGTCTAATGTTATCGGTTTAGTTTTTTTTTTTTTTGGGTTCTCCTGTTAAAATGTTTCATGATATTCGTCTTCTCCCCCTTCCACTGATGACAAGTCCCCCTCAGCCATAATTTTATTTTCTTAATAATATTGTTTGTTGCACCACAAATTATTGAATTATTTGTTATGTAATTTTATCTATCCAGCAGTTACGATAACTTCAGCACTCCTCAAGCACAGAGCAACTTTATGCTGGCAGTTGTAAACAAAGACTAGATACTAAAATAAGTGGCATCACAAGGTCAACATTTTGACAAATTTTACAACTTATGTTTCCCCGACGTCTCACAGACTTCGCTTATTAAGAAATGTCATGAACAAATATTTTTTTTTTTTTACTAAAATGTGTTTATATTCCGTGAAACCTTGAACTCCTGACATCTACAGCAAGTGTTCCTCTCTCTCTGTTATAGAGTATCTGCGTACTGAATAATCTAATAACGACATTGTGTCGTCTCAGTGTCTGTGAGCAGACACTTGCAACATCTCCTCCAGTTACATGAGCAATACGTACTCCACATATGCACACCATCAACAGTGTGTTTCAAAATAAGTTTACAACGCAAACAAATCTGCGTTGGTACCCATAAAACAGACTTTGACAACTTAACATTCTCTAGTTAATACATAGTTACCTGATTATCACATTCTAATGCGCTGTCATCCGTAACTTAATTTCTATATTCTCTCCTTTCAGTACAGTTCTGAATTATTCAATTCAATTAATTTATTTACGTGTTTGCCAACAGCAAGAAGCCAATAACAGGCAAACACTGATAATACATACAATAATAATGAAATAATAATGAAAAATAGTACACAAACAGATTATATAAACTTATACATGTACAGTATTAAATGTAACTGCAAAGTACAGGCAAACACAAAATAGAAACAATATTAACACAAAGCAAAAAATGAAGAAATATAAATAAAAGCAAATAATCCACCTAGGGAACATTAATATAATTGTAAAACGTTAAACAAATATAAAAAACAGATAACGAAGCTAGTTCATCTATCAAGACAACCTATCTAGATCTAATGTGACGCTTATAATAAGTCTGCTTCGTGCCGAGATCACAAATGCCTATAATTTAGAAAAATTATGGCTAACTTTCAATCAGTTAAAAGTACGTGAAGAATTTTTTTGAATTTTGAATATGAGATCAATAATTTCGATGGATAAGGTAGACAGTCTAGACAGATACATTTAATTCAGTTAGCAAAAATAACAAAACAAAATACAACAACTCGAAAATGACTTGAATATCTAAACGGTATTTGAACCCGTGATTACAAGTATTGAAAGGAGTAAAATTTGCACAGACTTTAAAATTCTGGATCATCTATGAGGACGTTCTTTTTTGTGCAACACGTAGATGATTTGAAAGGACGTTCATGAATATGCAGATGTCAGGAGACTATCTGAATTGTGTTCTTTTTGCAGGAACCAGCGTGAGGCAACAGAGTACAAGCTGGAGGACCGAACACAAGGCAGCTCGCACGCTGGGCATCATAATGGGCGCTTTCATGATCTGCTGGCTTCCATTCTTTCTATGGTGAGTGCCCCTTGCAAAGAAATGCGTGGAAACACAGGATCTACATCTCCACACGACAATGCAGAGCCATCTGAAGTGATACTTAAGAATCAGTATGCAACATTGGACTTTTGAAGCCCCGAAGATGGAGGCAGTATGCTCCTCCGAAAATCTAGTATCTACCTACAAGATAATACGGCGTTAAATCCCACGAGAATAATACTGACATCTTCACTACCTTAGAAACGTCAAATTTTACAGAAAATACTTAATTAGGAGAAGCAAGGAAAAAATGAGAGGATAACATTAACAACGTCAAGAATTTGTTGTGCGCGTAAATGTCTTACGAATACTGAATTTTCAGATCAAGCCACCAGTGATTCAGTCTGGTATACTAGAACCCAAGTATCAGATTTCCCCTATTGTGTATATTTTATGTCATTGATTATCAGTAGAATCACCATGGCAACTATTGTACTAACCAATAAATTCTTTCCAATTTAGGAATCCGTAAATTTTACGATAAATCTTTCCCCTCTCTGTCTGATGAACATAACCCAAATATCGGTAGCTTTACCATCGACTACAGAATTCAATTATTATGACGTAATGAGAATCAGTCGAACCGTAGCGACGGGTTGAATGACAACGCGATGGTTATCGTAATCAGCCTGATGTAGCACGTAAAACTGAACCGTTTTCAAAGAGTTTCGACAAATATACTTGCTCAAACACAGGCATATTGCTGCTTCTGTCTCTACCCGTATATACGGTCTTCTACGTTTAAATTCCATGTGGACTTCTATAAAGATACCAACGTTTCGGAGGAATATACCTTTCCCATCTTCAAGGCTAAATTACGGATATTTAGTTTTTGAATTCACTTCCGAAAGATCGGTTACGTTTCAGAGTCCATAGGACGTCAGAACTGAAACAACACAGTCAGCTTCACTCGAGTGTTAATCCCAAATCTCACACAGTACTAATAAAAGTTTAGTTTCCAGGTATATATTTTAATATTTTCCGTCAAATCACAATTTTTAATAAGATAATAAAATATAAAATATTTAAAATATCATTTCACGTTCCGCATCGAATGATCGATTTACAAATTGGAACGTTTTTTAGCAGTTTATTGAAGATGTTCTTATCAGATTACTCTTATATATTTGAAGGAAGGTATTGTTTTTTATGGCGTGGTTCATCTGATATCAGGTATCTCAAAATTATCTTCATTCATATATCATAAATTTTTAATTACCTTTCGCAGTTTGCTGCAAGCATACGTTTACTTAAACTTATTTAAGAAACCCGACTCTCGGTAGCAGAAACTGTAGATCGTAAGTTTCATTCACCTCCATTCCCATAACATCAGTTGAATCCGAACCTCGCCTGAGTAATATTTAAGGATTAAGGCCGTACCTCAAAGAAAACAGAACCTTTCACCATTACAAAGATTAGCCGGTTACTTCTGTTTACAGAATTAATCGCACTTTACACAAAAAATCACAAGAAACAACTCAATACAAAATGCAAATTTACTGATAGTTAATTTAGATGGTACATATATTTACCACTAGACTCTAAAGGGAAAGGTCGTTCGCTGATGTTTCTAGAGTCTAGGTAGTTTGGTCAGTTTATGTATGAACTGATGTCGGGCAAATTTCCCCGTAGTGACTGATATGGGGACATTACATTCTCTCTCGCTACTTGTTCAGCCTGTATTTATGGACGCAATGAATCCTGGCAAATCTCATGGAAAGACAGTAATTAAACTCACACTCCTGCGCCCTCACGCAGAAGGCAGATGCAATCTTCAATGGGAACACTCACGCAATGCCAGATAACTCCTGTGTTTGCATCACCCATATATTATCACGTTGCGTGTTATGCGTTGGGTTTGTGATTATTGATAATGGCTGACTTCACACGATTATGTCACTGCAGACTAAACACAGGCCCTAACTTGTTAATCAATGATTACGAAAACTTTGGATCTCTCCACAGCAGGGAAGAACACAGATTCGCAGTGTTTAACTGACTTTACACGCACGCGATAGGCGTTAAAAACACGGGCTCGTTCTAGTCACGTGTGTGTAAGAGCGAAACAAAAGGCAAATTACCCCGTAAAACTCACGTGTCAAAATAATTAAAAAAAATTACTAATGTATGCAGCAATACATTAGCTTTCTCTAGAATCCTTAATAGCGTGCTTAGTACTCAATATGGAAATCTTCACCATTTATAATATTAAATAGAGAATAGTAATCACATCAATGAGTTTAGACACCATCAGCTTCCCGTTAGATACGAGCTTACGCCAGTGAGATTTCAGGTTCTCACGGCAGAAGTTGGCCGTCTTCTGGGATGTTGCGCCGTGCGTCTCTAAGAAGTCGATCATTTTCGACGAGTCTACACTTTGCAACATCCCAGAAGACGGCCATCTTGATCGTAAGCCAGCAACATTTTGCGGATCATACACATAACCTAACCCAAACTCACTTTCATGTATTCCATATCCTCGTCTATCTTTCAAATTGACGTCTTCCAATTGAATTCCACATTTAGAATTTCAAACTACGTTATCTCCCTCAACTTAATCACACACCAGTCCACGTTATCATTCTAGCCTTATTAATATTATCAATCTTAAGGTACTACATTTTCTTAACTGGCGTCAATAACCTAATCACGAAAATCATCGATAATCTGTGTGCGTTT